TTGCTGCCCAGACACCTTTATAGCTGCACTGTGTGCCTAGACTGCCAGTGAGTGAGTCACACACAAGTCCCGGTGTTCACTGTTCATGGATCCGAAGCACTGAATGAGTTTTCACCAGCACAAATGTAATTTAAACCTCTGTCTGTCTACCGTTTGGCCTGATCATCAAATAGTAAACCTATAAGATAAGAGCTGAGTAAAGACATCTGGTACTCAGAAGTAAAAAAATATCTGAACGATGTTTCTACAGGAGCATGTTGAGTTAAAATCCATAACTACTACTTCATGTAATTTTACATATATGCCTACATTAGCTCAAAGATAAGCCACGTGGCTCAGCAGCTGTAACTTACTTGTCATCCATATGAAGGCACGGAGGGCACTTGATAGCCAGCCATGTTTTCCACTGTACGTGCCGGACTTTGTATACTTGTCCAAATCCACCTGAGCCTATTTTCTCCCAGCTGCCAAACTCAGAGCAATCAAAGGTCCTTAAGAGCCCCATATTCCCATGTGGAGAATCTGGGAAGTCCATATCCGTATTGACAAACCCACCAGCTGGGTAAACTCCTTTTTTATTCGTCTCCAAGGCACAATCTGGGCAAGTGAACATTCACACAGACCTGCCCGCTTGTGAGCTCTTCCTTGTTTTTCCCCTTGTCAAGCTCAGTGGGCCCCTCCCTCTCTTCAGGTGAAATGGGGGGTTGGGCCTGGTGCTCTGATGTCACTTCCTGGTTTTGCAACACAGGGAAGAGATGGAAAACTTTAAGGAAACAAGACAAACCACAAGGCACCAAGCTGCTTGTTTTCCAGATGCCCTAAAGTCCCAAGCTTTCTCTTATTTCTGCCATGAAAAGGAGAGGATAATCTTTGTAATGAGCCAGAGTCCATGAACCCGGGAATCATGTCATTTTATAAACACACCTTTGTCCCACTGTAGACCATTATCCAGCTGAACCCCCCCAAGGTAAGAAGAGGGAATATGTCTTAACAATAGGTGGGTTATGTGATATTGACCACATGTTTGGGAATGTGTGGACTCATCTTCTCCTCAGCACAAATCCACCAAGCAGAAGGGATCATCATGTTTGTTTTTCATAGTTATGGACTGTCCTTATGTAAAACTTTCCATGGACAGAATATATGCACACACAAACCTACAAAACCTACAGTGCAGTTTTGTGCCCTTTTTAATTTCATTCCATTCCCCACATGCACCTGTCCTTGGTGGTGCGCGCATTCAATTTCACAATCCTAGTTCTGTTTCTCAAGGACACTTCTTGCACATAAGACGTCTTGAACCTCCTCGTCCTCTGGCAAGAGACTATAAATGATTTATTTTTCACTTATCATAAAACAAGTAGGTAGTTGAGATTAAACCAGCTTTATCTCAGGTCACTGTTTTATAGGCTGATGTAATGTAATGAAGCACATCATACCCACACATCAGAGAATAGCCTACTGTACATTAAACTGATGTCAATTATATGAAATAATGCACGGCTGCAATAATCCACAAGGTGGCCCCAGGGAAACAATCGCTGTGAGCCCCTGAAATTGAAATGTCAACCAAATGTAGGCCCTAATATTTGGGCATTAACTTTCACAGGCCCCTAATCATTACTTAGGCCTCATAGAGGTTTTGGCTTGAACTATGTTACGCCAGATACCCTAGTCTTGGGGACTGTACAATATTTCATTGTATATTCATATATTTTATTGAAAAAACTCCTAAGACCCAAGCCAAAGTTATTGTTTTGGTCTCTCCCCTTAAAACACAATACCCTACATCCAGAAAATATACAAATTACATCCACAGAATGATTCAAATGAGCACAGCCAGCTGCTTTGTGACTTCTTGTAGACCCAAGCACTGCATTTTACACCAAATGTTACCAACGCTGATACAGACATTACTCCATTACTGAGCCATGTACTCAATTACTTAGTAATTTACTCAATTACTTAGTCATTTAGTCAATTACTTCGCTGTTCACTCAATCACTGAGACATTTACTCAATTACTTATCCACCTCCTAGACTCTCTGGAGGGAGAGGGGATTGATCCAGGAACATTCTGATTATGACACTGCGGCTTCACCTCCTGCGTCATTCATGCAATTACGGAACCATTTACTTACACAACTACCTAGCTATTTACTCATTTAATGAACTAATTACTCCATTACTGAGACATTTACTCCATTACTAGTCCAATTTTATTGTCATTATTCCCATTGTAGTAGTAGCCTCTTTAAACATCAGTTTGTCACTTATGGAGCAATCAATGTTGATTTACAGACATCTATAATTCAACATAGACTAGTTGTGTAGACGAAGTACACACATTATCAGAAACTTTTGATCCTATTTTGAAATCTGCCTTTACATGCACAGACAGCTGTTATCACAACGCTGGTGGTTGTGAAGCCACCTCTGATTTTGCAATATCTCCGGGCAGCGCATCACAATCCCAACGGGCCATCGGTGGCAAACCATTGTGAGTTCAGGACCTGGGTGTTGCAGAATGAACGTTAAAAGTAGGCTGAATGACTCCATGCTTTCTGGTAAAAATCCTATTTCTGTTTACCTGTACTTAACACATGATCTCATGCTATCACCCTACTCCACCCTGCTCTCCAGATTTAATTAGGAAACTGGAAGGACGAGGTATAAAGACTAAGTGTAAATATGTCATCAGGGAGGCTGCTGAGACATATCTTACTGCTCCAAAAGGAACCAGGCTTTATTTCAGGCTCGCAGAGATCAGTGTTTGTCCCCCAAGGCTGCTGCTCTGCAGACACAGAGGCATTAACATGAACAGCAGATAAAAGGTGAAAGTTGGTCGGTGGTGTGAACAAGAGCCCTTTGAGGTGTTAGTCCACCCCTCGTGTAAAGTGTAAATGTATCCTCTCGGGCGGCAGCACACCTCTTGATCATTGAAATGAAACAGGAGCATTTACTGGCGTGTTAATTAAATCAGCTCCTTACTGCTCTCGTTAAAAACAAGAAAATAAATCAGGACTGTCAGCTTTTCCCCATTGTTTTGACTCAAATGAGCATCAGTAAGCATGAGGTGAAGATTTGTGCTAAATTCGCAGTTCATTTCACTAATAAATCATCTTATAAACTAACTGATACACCAGTCATGAATAAATCTCAGCTTGTGACAGCATGTTAGCTGCTGGCAGCTCAGGTATGTGCTGGCGTACTATTTAAAGCCCATAACCTTTCCAATGTATTTCGTTCTTCCCATCAATCCCTTTGCTCTGGGGTTCTTTGAAGCATGCATGAGGGCATGTAAATTATTAGAAGAAAGCAGCAATATGGGTGTAACCTGAGGAATTCTGGATGAAGGCTCTTTATCCTAAATCTTGAAAATCTTGTTTTGAAGACCTGGTTTTATTCTTCACTGATTGAGTATTTGTTCGTATTAGTAGGAAAACAAATATTCCATTGGATCCATTTATTGAATGGTGAATGTTCAATATTATTTACATTATTACATTTTACCCACTGTGTGCAAGATGTTGCCAGACTTTATTGCCACCTACTGGAAGTTTCATATTAAAGCACTGAGCTCAGTGGTAAGACTTGGGTGCTCAAACAGCTTCAAAGCTTTTATTATGAAAATAAATGCATAAAGCTAAAGCTAATTTGATTCTAAATACTATGAAATTAGGGAAATGTCACTAAATGGATGGTGAAACTAAATTGAGGTCAATGCTGGGTTACAGTATCTCTCCCTGCTCTCAAACACTAACAGCTGTGTTTGAACTATCCAACATTAAACAGTAGTCTCAGATATGGAGAGTACGAAGGCCACGACTGAACTGTGGTGTGCTCATACTTGAGGTTTATGATTAAGTGAAATATTCTCTTCCATTATCCACCATATCGCTGCAGATGCTTTTTTGGACAGTTCTGACTGTATTTATATAAAACAGTGTCTCCCCAAAGTCATTATGTATAGGTCTATTGTTGGTTAAAGTTTTAAGCAAGAATAAACATAGCTAAACCCAAGTTAGCTGCATTGATATTTGTAGAATAAAGCCTATTGGGGCTGGAGTTAATGTTTCTGATATTCATATTGGACCTACCTATGCAGTTGATAAGAAATACTTTTAAACTCTTGTCAGTTTATGTAAATAGACAGCTCTGGGCCCAAAGTAGTGTAAAGATTTGTTGAACGCAGCTTTAGACATTTATTGACTTAAGAACAAAATATGATACCCCTGGTACAGATTTTCTGTCTAAATAAAAGATAAAACCAGAGTTTGGCTCTTTGTTTAAAATCTGAAAAAAGTTCACTTTTAGTCTCTTTTAAATGCCACGGTTTTGGTAACAGGAAATGTATCATACTAACAGATGATTTATTTTGCAAAAAAGAAAAAAGGATTTTGTAATCTTGGAAGGAAAACACAAAAAACACCTCCTCTTTCATATTTAGGAAATTCTCAGACATGAGGATTTGTTGATTTATCTAAATCTGGATGGGATGCTGATTTTGATCTAGGGAACACAAGTTTTAAAGTTTTAAAGATTTAAACTCTTTTGACAACCTAGTACACATTTACTTCTTCCATGTTGTGGCTGATGATGGTAATTTATTTTTCCTACTTTTTTTTTTCCAAGAACATGTTCACAGACTCAATATTTATCTGGATTAGAAGTTAAACCATAAAGTTAAATCACTGTAGAATCTGACTGTATGTGATGGACGGTAGTGGCAGTGTGTGCACACACAGACACACACTGTTTACAGAAAAGCCATAAGCTTGCGACTGACTGGAGGACAAACAGGCTTGCTGGTCTGAGAGCTGAGGAGGTCCAGGACAGATGGTCTCATTGCTATGAGCAGACCCAGACAAATAGAAGCAGGTTTGCTCATGATTCAGATGGCATTTGCACTACGATTCAGAAAAACAGCTGCTGAAATGCCCCCCCTTGTGGCCAGTTATAACTGTTGACCACAGAAACAGAATTTATATGAAGACAAATAAAAAGAACAACCTTTCCAAAGAGGTATTTTCTTTAAAAATAACAGTACAAAAACTCTTCCAGTATTTTTTCGGTGTGACAGTTCAACAATAATTACAGCATTCAAAAATAACATTTGATGAGTGAGCCACTTTTAGGAATATGCCAACTTTTACTTATCACATAACCTGGTAGAAGTGTTTTCACTTTAACTGTCGACTGCACCAAATGTGTCTTCTTTTTCAGCGTTCTCGAGCAGCAGATTTATGAAACATGCATGTTTTTAAAAGGCTGGTAAGGCATTTGAATATTCAACATGTTGCTTTGGTTTGAAATGTAAATCTTCCAGAGGAGTGTCAGTGATTTTGGCTGAATGTACCATTTCTCTCCCTTTTTTTTTGTTAAATATCATGTTAATTAATAACAGCCACTTTGTTTCATCAGTATAAAAAAAAAGGAAAAAAATTATTACAATTTCATTCACTTCCATGGGGCTGGAGAGGCATCTGGGTGACAGTGATCAAAGCTTTGCAGTTTGATAAAATCTACTCTACTATATAACAATGTCTGTGAGTGTGAGGTGACCAGCACCTTCAGTCTCTGCTCTAGTAGCTGAACATCTGCTGTGCGGAGCCGCTCTGCTGCTGCGGGGTGGCCGGCTGGCTCTGGATGGGCCGGCCTGGCTCCGGGCCCTGATTCTGGGCCTCCTGACCCTCCTGACCACCCTCCACCACGGCGGTGACCTGGCTTCCTTCAGCTGCCGGTACGGGCCTCCAGGCCAGAGTCGGGGCCTCCAGTTGGTGGCCCATGGGGTTGACCAGAGTGGTGACGTTGATGAAGTGGGCGACCGACTGGGGCGCCGTGCCTCCGCCGGGGCCCACCGTCTCTGGGACGAGTTCAGCTGGCCGGTTGTGGAGCATGGCGGAGCCGCTGACGGTGTCGAAGGTGACGGTGAGGATGGAGTTGTCCAGGGTGAGGGGCCGGTCGCTGGCTGTCAGGTGGCCCACGGCTACCGGCTGCAGGCTGGTGAACTGGGCGGGGGCGTGGCTGGTGATGGGTGTGACGGTGATGTTGGTCAGCCCCACTGAGCTGTTGGGCGAGGAGGCTGATGTAGCACTGGGCTCGGCCAGGACCACCACCTGAATATTTCAAACAAATAGTTTTTGTGTTTTAAGCAGTTCGGGGAATACATGTCAAAAAATTCAGGCTTGATGGAAATTTGGTCTTACAAATGTATAGAATTCTAGCCTTTTTTTAAACTATGTAAACCCTATTTGTTTACGGTTATATATATATATATACACATACATACACATATATATGGCATTGCAGTACTTTAATTGTCAATTATGACTTAATATGGGATGTAACCCATTCTCAATAATTTAATAACACTGACAGATGAAAAAAACTTTTCTTCTTATTGATCTTATTTAAACTATGGCTATTAAACTATGGTTCATGTCTCTTATTTATTTATTTCACTGAATGTATTACTCTTTATTATACTGAAATTATTTTCTTGTTTGTTTTTCCCAGCTGCTGCAAAGGTGCTACATAACGCGTTATCCTGATCATTTAGTGTTAAATGTTCAGTTCAATATGTAAAATCCCTTAAAAAGTCATAATTGCTGAATAATGTGATAGTGTGATGTCATGACATTATCTGTCAGTTTATCAGTTTTATTACATTTATACCCATTTATATATATTTTTTATTATTACCCTTTTAGATTTTATTACACTTTGTTAACTGTGTAACATGATCAGTTCTTATCACAATGAACAAAACAACAAAAAGAAAAATCAGGCTCAGCCAGAATGCTGATAGCATTATTTTACAATGTATATCATCACTGCTTCTGCACTTGTATTTATTCTGCCTGCCATCAGCAAGGTATGGTCAGCTGCTGTGTCTGGGCATTTGGCACTTCAGCAAGCAAAACATGCCCTTTCCTTGTGGTCTTTGGAGAAAAAAAAAAGAAGGAGATTGGGCATGTTAGTATGACAATAAAACAACGTTTGTGAAAATCTCCATATCTACCTGCTGGATACTCTGCACAGCAGAGCTCGTCTCTGTCTCGTCCCCAACGATGACGGCGTTGAATTCTGCCATGGTTTCGTGCCTCTGCTCGGTGAAATCAACATATTCGTCGGACTCGGAAAGCTCCGGCTCAGCCTGAACTCTCTGCTTCTTCTTGGGGTGTCGGGAAGGCCGGCTGGACCTCTCCTGAGCCATACTGTCTTTTTCCAGGGTCAGAGTGGGCTGAAAAGGACAGTGAAACATCTTCATTAGGACTAGATTTGATTAATTTTGTCTTTCTGAGAACTCAAACATTCACGTCCCACAGGAGGCATGTAATACCAGGTGCAAAGAGAGTCATCGTAATGCTAGGATAGAAAATTGAGGCATTACCACTATGCAAGAAGGGCATGCATGACTCACGCATACTGTGAATAAACAGGAACTGTTTAGCAGTTCTATATTTAGTGTGCAATCATACATAAAAAGGTTCACGACAGAGAAGTTAAGAGCATGAGGAACATGGTATACAGCAGTAACAGGCATTGGCATCACTTTAGTATCTCATGCATGGATTAGATATGGAAATCCAGCAAAAAAACACAATCTAGCTTCATGATGATCAGGTCTGTTGCATTGCCTTGTAAACCTGGACGCCACACAGCTAGATTTTTTGCACAGAGCTACCCTAAACAATGTTCCATTGTGAGTTTCACAATATTACATTATGAAAGCACTGTAATCTAACCTGCACAATGCTGATAGACGAATCATTGATTGTCGAAGTTTCCTGGAGATCATCAAACTCATCGATTCTTACAGACACCACCTAGAGGCGTAAAGGAGAACAAGTCCACTTTTAGGATTCAGTAATGGTAGCTGTCCTGGGTGGTAAAACACAGAACATTGTGTTTCCCAACACAACTTGCCCATACTCACCTCAGGGTGTTTGCGGCGCAGGTGTCGGTTCATGGAAGCTCGGGTAGACACCTTGGTCCCACAGAGGTGACATGACTGGGCCTCCACCTTCTCGTGAGTGAGGTGGACGTGCTTCTGCAGCATGTACTCTGTCAGGTACTTCTTATCGCATGTCCCACACGTCCATGTCTTACCCACTGCAGTGGGAAAGAGGGAAACTGGGTCAGTCCAGCATGCTAAATGCACCGATGTAAACCCTATGCAAACTACTGGTGGGAGATTATTACATCTACAGTTTTGACCTTAAAATGTCCTTTGTCCTTAGACTTCTTGAGCAAGACACTGAACCCCAAAGTGCTCCCGATGCTGTGTAGAAATGTTAGTTTCGGTTCATGAAGGCCATTGCCATCACTGTATAAATGTGTGTGAATTGTTTGTATGTGGCATGTAGTGTACAGCGCTGTGAGTGGTCAGAAGACTAGAAAGGCGCTATACAAGTACAGTCCATTTACCATTTATTCAGTTATATTTATTAATAACTTTTTACTGTTTCTAGGCTAATGTCATTTCCCACTCTCTGTTCCCAACCGATCTATCTTCCACCCTTCAACGTTGCAAGTTTTACGGTAAATACGTCCTTTCATTTTGGAGTGGCTTTTTGGTTTTTTTATTCTGGCCGCATAATTTAAGCTGCAGAATCGGTTCTTGTCCAACCATAAACCGCTTCATTTTTATGGCTCTGAGAACATAAAAAAGAAAATCCTAATTACAGACTCCCGTGTTCAGCTTCTAACTGTCTTGTAACAGTCAGCGTTAAAGACTGAGGAGTGTGTTTCAGCCTGGTTTTATCATGGCCACTTGCCTGTGTGGATGAGCTTGTGTGTTTCTAGAGTTGTCCTTTCACTGAACGTCTTTCCACACAGCTCACACATGAAGTCCTTTATACCTGCAAAAACAGTAGTGAACACTGAGTAAACATACAGTGATGTGAGATAATATTTTGTAGTCTGGTTTAATTTTCTTACACATTTTGTGAATCAGTATATTGACTCACCTGTATGTCTCTTGTAGTGTTTCAGCATGTTGACCTTTTGGGCGAACTTGCGGTTACACTCCTTACACTCGTACTCTTTTATGCCCTTGTGAAGCTTCATGTGGTGCCTCAGAGCGTGCTTGGTCTTCATGCCTGCACAGGAATACATTTACTCTCTGGTGATAAGTTCATCGCTCCATTCACACAGCGAGATAAAATGATGTGTAATGAGTTGTGTGGTGCAGTAGTGAGGACCTGACCTTTCCCGCACTCTGCGCACAGGAAGTCTCGGATGTCATCGTGAACCCTGAGGTGCTCCTTCAGCATGTCCTTCCTTGCGAATGATTTGTTACACTTATCACAGCTGTGGCTCTTCACACCTGGATGATCAAACAAACACATATGCGGTGTGTTACAAATCCCACTCCTTCCTTCTGAGTCATAACTCGGTCAATTCTAAAACAGCAGACAGGATAACCGTCCACTAATGCTCCTAAAAACAATGGAAAAAAGACCTTACAGCTTCAGCTCTTGGCCATATATATATATATATATAT